CCCCAAAACCCCAAAACCCCAAAACCCCAAAACCCCTTTATTTTGCAATCAATTGGAATATTTGAAATTAACGTATGCAAATTTGAGGATTTTAGGCATACAAAGAGGATTCTAGATAGGTCCTCATTTGTTCATAAATTCCAAAGAATGCTCATCCTCCGACTGAGAGGTAGACAACTCTAAGAAATCCGCCTTTGTAAAAGCCTTGAAATCCTGATTCTGTGTATATTTTAGAGACTAATTTTGGAATAGAAATCTCTTGTTTATTCAAATCACAAGTCATTCTTCTTGTCTTTATAACATCTATGGGTGTAATTAAGAACCCAGGGATTGATCCTGCTAAGGAGCCATTCATGGCATTATTCCAAAAATTTATTTCAACTTGTTCTTCAGGAATATTCCTCGTTTTCGATATATAAGATATTCGAGTCTTTTTGAGGTACTCATAAAGAGAAAATTGTAGACCTGAGAAAGGAATCTCCCTCAATAATACTGAAAAGTATCCTCGATAGAATCCAGAGATCCCTTTATGGCAGTAAATATCCTTTCAAGCTTCAATAATTGTTTCATATTTTCCGATTTGTTGGTTCTGCTTGACCACCTCAAAGGGGTTTCGGACTAAAGCTTCAAAAGCTCATGCGATGGAGGCTGCTCAAAAATGTTGGATTGGAAGTGACATACTTTTTCCGAGCTTATTGTTTGATATCGCAGATTTAGAAAATTCATAAGATGCCCAAAATATGGCTGCTCATGGGAAAGATGGAAGCATATTACTCACAAAACCTCGAAATTTGTGGACCTTCTTAGCATCAGTAGTGTAATTCTTCGAATCTGTACTTGCTTGGACTCTGGTCTTAAGACTATCTATCGGAAATAATGTAAAATCAACAGCTATCCCTGCACAGCCTCCAGCTAGAGAGGCTCAAAGAAATTCTTTCCGCTTTGAGGTATTGTTTTGGTCCATTAGTCTAATTAAAATATCAAAAAATTAACAAAAGTGGGGTTTTGGGGTTTTGGGGTTTTGGGGTTTTGGGG